ACACACACACACATATGAAGAGAGAGAGAGTATAGTAGCATAGTATGCAAATGGTTACCAAACAGCCATCATAGTTCGTCATACAATGAGAACAGGACAAATCGACAACTAACAATGACTAATTAATATTAAAATCTGTAATATAATGTATTGTTTGGAGTTTAGTCTGTTACTGTTACTATTTTTACCATTTCTTCTTGGAACAACTGTAACCCATATAGTGTCCTTAGGGATTAATAAAGATTCTGATTGTTTCAGGATGCATGACATAATCCAATGACACATCTGCTTACCTCTATCTTTTGCTCGTTTCTCCTCCTCTTCTTTTCTCTTTTTTCTAAACTGAGGACCTGATGGCTTTGAACTTTTCTTGTCCATCTTCCATTGGTTTTAATTTTGCACTCCAGTATGAACACCCATCCCCCAACCTGAGGATCACCACAACATAACCTTCACCTTAGTTCACAGATTCGCTTTGTCTAGGGTTTATTTCTGGGATTCCAGGATTCAAATCATGAATACATAATGGATTTGGATTTACAACATTATGAATGAAATGTGCTCTATTTGGAAGCAGCAGGGCCCCCTCCCCTTTTGACGGGTTGTGTGTGAGACTTTAAATCATCAAACTATAAATTATAAATTGTTATTGATCCCTTTACCCCTAGTCCTAATCTGTATATTTATTTTCTTACTCTTCTTCTTCTTATTGTTTGTTTACTTGCACTGCTGTAACAGGAGCCTTGTCGTCTTGTCTCTCTATATACTGGACTGTATGTAGCGGAGATGACAATAAAGTTTACTTTGACTTCAGCAGCAAGCAGGCGCACTGAGGGCTCTCGCGCTCACTTTTCACTTATAGAATTTCGAAAAAACATCGGTGCAAATTGTAAGTCTGTATCATGATGTCTGGTGTTTTCGTGTTTGTTGGTTTGTTTGTTTTTTGTGTTATTTTGCGAATTGGTTATTAGATGCTGCTCCAGCCAGCCGGAGAATACGCCACCCCCCCGCCCTCTCCTCCCTGTGCCGCAAGCAGCAGGTGCACCTCGCAAATGGGCGATAGAAAACCGATCGGTGCCTATGCCATTCCCAATATGCGCTGGCATGATGTCGGGGCAGCATGAGTACGAGCAATTTTTTTTTCCCCGATGCCTGTTAATGCCGCCCCCCACCACGATGCCGCCCCGGGCAACCGCCTGTGTCGCCCGTATCAAAAACCACTACTGCTCATGCTGGCCAGCTTGCTGTGGGATGGCATCCCAGTGTTTGCCACAAGTCGCCAGTGCATTTGTACTGGCCAATCTGGCACAAGCAGCACACCCAAGGCAATCCCATAAGTGTTCAATAGCACTGAGATCTGGACTGCAGGTCCGTTTTTCCATCCTCTCCACTCCACTTCAGGGTTCCCTGCTAAGACCACTTCTCTTTACATTACACATGCTTCCATTAGGCAGTATCATTAGAGAACATAGCATATGTTTTCATTGCTAGGTAGATGATACCCAGCTTTATCCATGAAGACAGACACCACACACACCAATTAGCTAGACTATAGGAATGTATTTAAAACATAAAGACCTGGATTCAGATAAAACTGAGGTTATTGTGCTCTGCCCTAAAAAATTTGAAACATGGTTTCTAACCAGATACTTACTCTGAATGGCATTACCTTGGCCTCCAGTAACAGTGTAAAGAATCATTTTTAAATGAATCTTTTTTGACCACAGTATGTTCTTCAGTGTGCATATTAAACTGTTTTCTTTTGATTGCACAATATGTCTAAAATTAGAAATATTTTGTATGAGAAAACTACTTTATGCATTTATTTCTTCCAGGCTGGACAATAATTCATTATTGTCAGGTTGTCTTAAAAACTCCCCAAAAAGCCTTCAGTTGATCGAAAATGCTGCAGCAAAAGTAATAATATATAAATAAAACTGAATTGAAATGAATTCAACTGACCACTGTAGTAGGGACCATGCTTACAGTTGCTGCATATCATGCACCAATCAGCTACCTAATTGTCAGCACCTAGTGTAACAGTATAGTAGAATCAGCTGCTCGGCATTGGCAGAGAAGGTTTGGCAACTGCGCATTTTCCATTTTCATATGTGTTTTCCTTACAAATGTGAAACAATGTAGGGGGAAATAAACAGGCTTTCCAACAATATAAGAAGAAGGATGGTTACAACAAAGATAACGGACCAAACACCAGGGCTGGTCTAGCATACCAGGCATTTTCCCGGTGGGCCATCGCACTTTTGGGCCGATGTGCCAGCCTGAAGGGCTGCTGCGTAGCAACCGTACAAGCACTGATAGCAGCTCGTTGGTTCATTTTCATTACTGACAGTGGATTTCCCAATTAAATCTCTCAATATGACCGGCGCCTCCCCTACCTTCGCTGTTGTCTCACGTTTCTTGTAGAAAAAGTTTAG